GTTCAAACCCAGCCCCGGCCAAAAACTGCAAAAAAAAAAAAAAAAAAAAATCATCATCAGAAAACCCCATTAAACATGCTATTAACCTGTTCTATAGTGCCTGATTGTGTCCTTGGGGTTTTTTAAAAGATTATTATCTTTATTCCCTATTTTTGGTTTGGTCTGTTTTGAATGACTTAAATTTTTTTTTTTTTAGATACAGAGTGTCACTTTGTCACCCTTGGTAGAGTGCTGTGGCATCACAGTTTACAGCAACCTCCAGCTCTTGGGCTTAGGTGATTCTCTTGCCTCAGCCTCCCTAGTAGCTGGGACTAAAAGGCTCCCACCACAACCCCGGACTATTTTTTTGTTGCAGCTTGGCTGGGGCCGGGTTTGGACACTCTCGGTGTATGGGGCCAGCGCTCTACCCACTGAACCACAAGTGCCACCCAACTTTCTAACAATTTTTATTTTATTTACTTATTTATTTTTGAAACAGAGTCTCAAGCTGTGGCCCTGGCTGTCATAGCTTATAGCAACCTCCCACTCTTGGACTCAAGCCATCCTCGTGCCTCCAAGAGGAGGGGGTGTATCAGCCTCCCAGAGTGCTAGGATTACAGACATGAACATTCTAAGTTCACAAATAGCTGAGAAGGTCATGGGGGTGTCAATGTTTACCACATTTCTCCACTTTTATTCATTTTATTTTCCTATGAAATTGGTTTCAAATGGAAATAATTGTTATGGTTAGTTAAATTGAATGGAGGCTGTGCTGTTTAATTTTGTTTTTTGAAACTTGTGAAACAGCAGGTACGTGTGAATGGAATACACTGTATTTTGTAACATATCAAGAAGCTGGTAACATATAACATAAGAATAACTATTACGGTTTGGATTTAGGTAATTCTGACAATAAGTTACATAGGAAGTATCGGATATTCTGAAAAATCTTGTTTGTTGTATTATTTTGAGTGTGTGTTTTCATACATTTAACTTTTTTTTTTGTTTGTTCGTTTTTGGCTGAGCCTGGGTTTGAACCCGCCACCTCCAGCATATGGGGCTGGTGCCCTACTCCTTTGTGCCACAGGAGCCGCCCCCCTCCTTTTTTTTTTTTTTTTTTTTGAGATAGTTCCACTTTGTCACCCTTGGTAGAGTGCTGTGGCATCACACCTCACAGCAACCTCCAACTCTTGGGCTTAAGTGATTGCTTTTCTTCAGCCTCCCAAGTAGCTGGGACTACAATTGTCCACCACAAGGCCCAGCTATTTTTGGTTTTTGTTCTTGTTCTTGTTCTTGTCGTTGTTTAGCAGGCCTTGGTTGGGTTCAAACCCATCAGTTCAGGTACATGTGACCATTGCCTTAACCACTGAGTTACAGGCTCCAAGCCCATTTAACTTAATTTTTGTTTGTTTGTTTGTTTTTTGGGTTTTTTTTTGGCAGTTTTTGGCTGGGGCTGGGCCTGAATCCACCACCTCTGGCATATGGGGCTGATGCCCCACTCCTTTGAGCCCCAGGTGCCGCCCCCATTTAATTTGTTTTTGATGAATTGGTAACTGTTAGATAAACTGAAGCAGTATATGTTTTTGAATATTTTACATTTATGATTTTTTTCTTTGTTTGTTTTTTGACAACAGAGTCTCACTATGTTGCCCTTGGTAGGGTGCCGTGGCGTCATAGCTCCCAGCAACCTCAAACTCTTGGGCTTAAGCAATTCTTTTGCTTTAGCCTCCCAAGTAACTAGGACTACAGGCGCCTGCCACAACGCCCGGTTATTTTTTGTTGCAGTTCTCATTGTTGTTTAACTGACCTGGTTGGGGTTCGAACCTGCCACCCTTGGTGCGTGTAGGTCACACCGTAACCACTGTGCTACAGGTGCCGAGCCTATGATTGTTTTTTTAATAATAAATAATTAATGGCTGCTTGATTTTTTAGTACAGCTTCTCTGACTTGTTTTAATTCAATGCTCGGAGTGTTTATGGCTTGAGAAGTTGTATTAAGGGCCTTGACATGGCACAGGCCAATGGACTAATTTTCAGATTGAGTCCAATAGCTAGTGTTGGTATGACACAAATGGCTAATGTGGTGTATTTAGCAGGGTTAAAAAGGTGCAGTTGGCTATAATAGTTTTTAGGGAGGTTAACATCTTATGTTACTTTAGACTGGTTGGACTTATAGTTTTATACCCAGGGTAGAAAGGGGGGTTAATCTTAGCAAGCAAGGTTTCCCTGTGTTGTATCAGGGGTATATGA